ACATGTTTGCAAGTTTGTGGTTTTATTTAAACGATATTCAACTATTCAATTATTGAAAATCATTTAAAAAGAACTTAGATTTGACAGGTGACAATTTTTTTGGTGTTTATAGATTTGTTATAAAATGTCCTAACCTAGTATCTTATAATATTTTTAAAAAATAGCCTACATTCCTTTATGTATGTTAAATGTCGATTTGCAATGTCGCTTGTTATTCTATTTGGTGCAGCTACCTATAATGTTTGACTAAAAGCACTTGTGTTTGTTTGCTGAAACGTTTTGCACAAAAAAATAAAAAAAATTTTCCAAAAAAAAAAGAATTAGTAATGAAATCAATCATCCTAATTATTATAATTTTTTTTTTTTACAAATTATATTGTATTTACGTCAAGTATGAATTAAGTATACATGTATTAAAAATCGAACAGCAAAAAAATATATTAATAATTAAATTATTGTAATATAGAAGTCTAGATGAGCTACGTTGTATAGAAAAAAATCGTAGGCTTATTATGTGTTGCTGTAGAGAATTATAATACATTTACATGACTAATTACATAGTATATTATATTATATTCATATTATTAACCAATATTGTTAATGTTTATTATTATTGATTTTTTTTTTTATTGTAAATAGAATATTGTTACAGAATTTTTTTTCTAATCTAAAATTTACTTTGAAATTTGATTTAATACTATTTTATGACTGTCAACTTTATTAGTTATTTACCAATGGTGTTGATTATGTTGTTTAAATTTATAAAGATATTATTATTATTATCATCATTATTATTGAATTTTGTACATACATGTTTTTTAAGTTTAGTATAATAGAATTTGGAACCGAAAATAGATATTTCAAACATTATTATGGTAATGCACTTATTGTTTTATTTATTACCTATTGGCTATTTGTTATGTGTTGATAAGTTTGTACGATCAAATTGTACAGGAGGTAGAACAAGTGTTGTCTTAGGTGTAGGTATTATTTTAATAATTATGAAGTTACTGTAAAAATCAAAATGTATGACTTGTTACATAATAAATTGTGTATACATCCAAAAATACTTTTGTTTAGTATCTATGTTATAATTTGTTGCATGAGTTCTATCTATCAAATGTTCTAATAAGTTTTAGTAATATAAATTAGATAACTTATTAACTGATTTTCTCATATTAATTCAAAATTATTGTAGTACTTCAAACAAAGTAGTGATATTTTTTTAGGCGGAGACTCCTAGTATTTTTTAAAGATAATTCTTTTGCTGTTRGAAAGATCATATTTACTTAGATACAAAAAGAGTGGAATTGCAAATTTTATATTAATCATTCATTCATTCATTCAAAAAATTCAATAGTATAATAGTTATTTACGAAAAAATTGGTTTTTCATATAGTTAAATTAGTATGACGTTTGTCATTTTTAAAAATAATTTATAAATAAATAATTAATRTGATGTTAAACCTTTTTAATAATGACTTTTATGATTTTAAATTTGACATGACTATTTATTTTGTGAGCTGGGAAGTTAAAATTGTTTACTTCATGGTGSTATTAACCTTTATCCAGATTCCAGAGTCACCTTKAAATATGAATGCAGGGAATTACAATATATATAGTAATTTAGTGGATACTGTGGATTTTTTTTTAAATCACTGGAGAATATCAACTTATACTAAATTAAACGAGCTGAGTCCACGTGCTAACTATAACATCACAGTGCTCAAATAAAATAGAATAATTGTTGTATAAAAAAGATTAAATGCTCTGCTGTAACAAGCCAAGAYGAAAACTTGTTAAGTTAAAATAAATATACCATAATGTAATAATAAACCATATTTATTTATTAACTATATAGATAAAATATTGAACTATAGATCTGTCATAATCCTATATTAATAGCTAATAAAAAAACAAATAAAAACATTTATACATCAAAACTGTTTGTTTTTAATTTGATTTGAGATTTATATCTTATGTCATTGCAATGGAATTCTCATTGTTTATCTGTATGTTCGTTCAGCACAATTTTTATGCTAGATATGCAGTCAGAATGAAAATAAACTAAACATGTACATTTATCTTGTACCTATATCGCAACCTATTAATTGTAATCTTTGACTTCAGACTTCCGGGCAAATAATGGCATCTAAAAAAATCATTACCTCAATATTAATAATCTATAGATAACAGTGTAGTAAGAGTAAATTTATTAAGTAGCCAGTAGTTATGATAATCTATGCAAAATAAACAATTCATATTATAAATTAATATCATGTACCTATAATCTATGATCTATCATATTATTCAAATAGTTAATAGTTAATATCCTAGGCATTAGGTAACAATCAAATTTGACTGAATGCATGAATTTTCATTAAGTATGCAGCTAGTGGGTAATGCTCTGCTGTATATTAAGTGTCTAGAGAGTATAGTCATGGTAATGGACGTGTTATATTTGAATTCAATAATCATTGTATACAAAAAATGATTCTGAACGATTATGGTTTGTCAGGCTATAATATTGCTAATATTACATGTATAATATTTTATTATTTAAAATTAATTTTCGCCAATAAAATTATGTTTGAAAAAATSATTGTGTGTATACTGTATGCAATATATTACATAATAATGTTCTCTAATAGTTTTAAGTAGGTACTCACGAATAATATTTTTAAATTACAAAACAATAATTAMAATTGTATTACTCTTGGTTTTAATRTGTAATTTTGCCCAAATTTTAGCTTAAAATGTCTACAAAATTAATGTGTTTGTAATTTGTATAACTTTTAGATTATTTGGTAACAATATAACCTGCTTACGAGGATATTTTTTCTTAATGTTCAATTCTGTGTCAAACAAATAGAACATATMATTTTATTATTTGTTGTTAATTAAATATTCATTTGATAATTCAAGTTTAGAAAAAGTTAGTTTAAAAAAAAAACTCGTAATTTTCTTATGCCTATAACTTTTTCAATAAAATTGCAATATTTTGAAATATTATTAATTTAACACTTGGTGAAAATCTCACGTATCTACGGGGTTTTTTTTGAGTTACACTAAAAATGTAAATTTATTTTTTCACAAATTGGTCTTGTATAGAATTCTGACTTTTTCCTTGAACCTGCAAGAAGCTTTGTTAAGAGTCAACTTGGGTGGACTATTTGAATCACTTTCATGACTTCGACGGCTTAAAATATTTGAAATTAGAGTTAATCAAATCATAGGTATAATATTGAAAAATAGCGAGTATGGACAGTAAATTATTACGCAACGTTCAAGTGCAATGTTATTTGTTGACAATTTTTAGCGTTCTTATTTTTAATAATTATTTGTAAAATACTAATATGTATTAATTGTGTTTAAAATTAGGTAGATATATAGTAAGTATGACGATAAACGACAGCTGAAAGGAAAAAATGTTTTACGGAATCAACCAGTCAATAGAACTAAAAATCAATCGACTTGCATTGATTGCTATGGATAGGTAAATATGATTAGCATTTGTTGGGGACGTTTGGATCCTGGCCTCCTGCGCCACTGAGTTATTTATTTTTATGGATGAGGCTATGTGGGAGGAATGAGCTTCATACATTTTTTCCACTYATGCACAGAATGGCTGTTTCTTGATGGTCCAAGAATAATAGGTGTAACATCCGATGAGTACCTAATCATTTTTCTGGGAATTATTTGTGTATTTGTATTAAAAATTCATTTGGTATTTTATTATTCGCGTATGTCCAATAAATTATGTTGTTGGTAAGTTATTTCTACGTCGCTTTCCCAAGTAAGTAGGTACCTATACAGGGTGATTCTTTTATCAAACAACACTCATTATTTCAAAAACTATTGAATTTTTTCAAATTTTTTTTTTTTCAAAATTTTGGAACCATCTTGTTCTAGAACTATATATTTTTTTAAATATTTTCACCCTTATATTTATCAGGCTAACTATTATCAACTTTTGATTTTCAAATGACAACCTATACTTAAAATTTGATAAACTAAAAAGGCTATTTTTTCAATGAATTTTCACGTTTAAATTTTCATTTTTCGTCAATTCGTTTACAAGATATAGCCTCCCAAAGTTGGGTGGTTTTGGGTGGTGTTTGTGTGTTATAGGTGTATGTTAGGTGGTATTTACACACAAACACCATATAAGTGTTGTTTGATAAAAGAATCACCCTGTATTATAATAGGTATTAGGAGGTACCTACTATAGTGTACTACAGCAGAAGAGGCCGTCTAGTATAATGGACTGTTTAAAAACAGATCGCCTTAAATTAAAGTAGGTACCTATACCTATGTCTTATATATAAATAAATAAATATATATATAATGTACTATGTACCCACTACCCACATATGAGTTTAGCCTTAAATAAAACATCGTCTCCGACATGAAATTACTTTGAATTTATTATTAATTATTATATTATAATACTGTACGCCTAAACTCTTTAGATGAACTAAGATAAAGTTTCAGCTACCTATAATAGCACATCGTTATAATATCATATAGATACCTAGTTAGATATATATAAAGTGCCTACTAAGCCTCACCTATAAAGTAATATTTTAATATAAAGTCACGCAAAAGTACGCCTATAAAATATATTACCACTAAACTTGTCTTATGCTCATAGTTTAACGACAATATAATAACTAGGGCCCAGAAGTTCATGCATTTGCATGTTTTTTTTTTTGAACCATTAGATTTATTGCTAAGTGAGCTACAAATGCATTTCAAGACACTACGAAAAACATATCAAAAGTTTAAAGTGCATATTTTATAATTTATATAGATACAGTATGAAAGTTCGTAAATAAAAAAATAAATACATTTATATTAAGTGAACTTACTACCTAGATATTAATATATTATATTTTTTAAATTTCCATTTGACATTAAAAACAATATTTTTCTTCAATTTGTTTTMAWACATATATTTATACATTTTAACTACAGCTAGCTTTATTGGCTTTATCTTATTACGTCGATCGACGGGCGTGTCCGTGCCGAATTTAATGTGTTTAACCTGCTCAATATAATACCTATTCCATTACGGTAATAGTTATCGAATATTGTAATATTGGTAGTTATCTTTATCGCCGATAACGATTCTTTCGTCTTTTTGTAAAATTATAGAATGTAGTCAGTTTTTGATTTCTCATTTATATTGTTTGACGTGTTCCGTGAAGTAATATCGAGTGTCCGTCTTTTTTGATTAAATTGTTTTAAAATGCCGAAAGTAAAAACTACGTTAGTGAGTTCGGTGAACATATTTTCGCGTTCGACGGGAGTGTATTATTTTTTAAGATATGCGAGGTAATGGTAAAAAGTACGAAAAACGTTTCAGTGTCACTCAGCATTTGAGTACTGAAAAACATATAAGAGCCTTTAATCGTCAAAATAAAAATACAACTCAACAGCTAATTACTACTACACCAACATGAAAATCCGAGTTTTCTAAGGATTTATGTGAAGCATTCTTAAAATGAATCATTCCTTTAGAAAACATATGTCAATGACTGATATTASGACGAATGAGATGAGAAATGAAATACTTAATAAAAAATCTTGGTGTCTATAGATGAGACAACAGATATGGAAGGACGATATGTTGCCAATGTGGTAATTGGAACATTAATAAYTGACGGACCAGGTAAAATTTTTTTACTTGCATCGGAAGTATTGGAAAAAGCAAACCACATGACAATTAGTATGTTATTTGCTAAAACTCTTTTTTCTTTGTGGCCAAATGGAATCAARCATGAYGATGCTCTTTTATTTGTAACCGATGCAGCACCATATATGGCGAAAGCGGCAAAATCCATTCAAACATTCTATTATAAAATGGTTCATATAACCTGCCTCGCGCCCTCGCCCATGGTTTGCATYGTGTATGCGAGAAAATYCGTGAAGAATTTCCAAAAATTGATGAACTTTATTTCGAATATGAAAAAAGTGTTTTTAAAGGCGCCAGCTCGCGTTGAACTGTTCAGAAGAGAAGCCCCAGAAGTGACATTGCTTCCTACTCCTATCATTACGCGTTRGAGAACCTAGTTAAAAGTCGCATTGTACTATTGTGAGAATTTAAAAAAAATACGTTAATTTATTAAATTCTGATGATGCCCTAGCCATTGGAAAAGTTAAAAAAAATATGTCAGAAACAAATTTAGAATCAGATTTAGTTTTTATATATTAAACAAATAATGGATTTCTGGCTACGGCTATTACAAGTTTAGAAACTCAGTTAACTTTTTTAACTGACGTAATYATAAACGTGGAGAGTGCTGAAAATAAATCAACTACATTAAAATGTTCCAAAGGCATTACAATTTATAAAAAATTTGAAAAAGTCATTGAAAAGAATCTGGGCTTTAAAATACTATCCAAAATTTCCAAAATTATGCTGGGAGAAGAAATGGCAGTGGATAATTTACCTGAAGATTTTTCATGTGATCATTTAATATATTTTAAATACGCGCCAATTTCTTCGGTTGACCTAGAGCGGAGCTTTTCGGTGTACAACAATATGTTGGCAGATAACAGGCAGTCGTTTATATTTGAGAATTTATCAAAATCGTTGATTGTAAATGCAATGATTAAAAATGTTTATAAATCAATGAAATAATTTTAGATTCTGAACGAAGTGATGAATGTATTGATTTTACAATGATGT